TCAGTGGCTGTTTCACTGCCTCCAAAGCTGGGAACTCCATGCCAGGGCCTGCCCTGCTCCTGGTGGCACCCAGTGGCCTATACTACTGGTGAGTGCTCATTACGATCTGGGGGCAGAGACAGGGCAGGGCCAAGTGAGCCACCACAGTAAAAATCCACACCTGACCACAGACCTGTGGTGGCTCCAGCTGAGAATGGCCCTTTCTGGGTCCCTGCTCCCTTCTAGGTCTAGTAGGGGCTATGGAAGTGCCTTGGTGGCGCCCGCTCCCAGGAAGCCCAGGCCTGAGTATGACAGGTCGGGAGAATGAGTTGCACAATCTCTCTATCCTCTGCCCCTCTCCTCCCCACCTCCCAGAACCTCATGCCAACTTTGAGGCCAGTAGAGCCACCTCAAACCCCAGGCCCTGCAGAGCCCACTGGGCCCCAGTGTCCACCTCTGTGAAATGGAGGTGATACCTGCCTGTCTCCCTCAGAAGATCGTGAGGATGTGGGGAGGGGAGGGAAAGGGGCTTTGCAAACTATGAAGCGCCACAGACATGACAAGGATAGACTAGGAGAAAGACCAGGACCTCAGGATACTTTGCCTGGTTTCCTGTTTCCCTTAAAGAGGACCCAGATCTCAACCAGGCTCTTTTTTTTTTTTAATATTCGTTTATTTTTTAGTTGTTGTTGGACACAATATCTTTACTTATTTGTATGTGGTGCTGAGGATCGAACCCAGGGCCTCACTTGTGCTAGGCAAACACTCTACCGCTGAGCCACAACTCCAGCCCTCAACCAGGCTCTTACCCTCTTGCCCTGGAGACTGGTACCTCTTGCTGCCTGGGCTGTGGTATTGCAAAGGACCCAGGGGCCCCCTCTGATTGAAGCCCATCTAAACATGAAGAGGGTCCCTACCTCTCTGGGCCAGCTCCAGCCACTTCCAGGGCCTACTCAGGTCCCACCAGGGCTGATCTGTATGCTCCCTGAGGCCAGGATTGAAAGAAACAGTGGCATTTACAGCAAGAGGGAAGGAGGCAAGACCCCTGCCTGCTCCTTACCTCTGGTGAGTTGGTGCAGCGGTGGCTGTGGAGGGAGCAGCAGCTGTTTGTTGAACAGTGTGCTCTTCTTGTAAGAGATGCCTGTAGCACTTGAAAACAGAGATGCCAAGGTGTCACATAAATTCCCCGAAGTCAGCAGTGTGACTCTCTCTAGAGAGAATAAGCGGGTAATCTTGCAGAAGCCCTCAACAAGTGCCACTGAGCTGGCCATGGGCTCCATACTGCCATGGGGTGCCGCAGCATCTCTGGGAGATCTGAGACCATGCCCCAGCCTTCAGGGAGACAGTAATGACAGCTGCCACAAATTGCAACTGCATTCCCAAACCCAAGTCCCCAAGAAACTACGCAGGTGATGGACAGGCAGCCAACAGGCCGCAGGTGGGGCTGTAGAGACTGGCAGGGACTGTGACAGAGCGTACAGTCCTCTCTAAAAGGGACAGCTGATTTCTGCTCTAGTCAGTTATTGTCACGTGGAAATATTCTGATGTGACCAGAGAAGCCATTTGTAGATGTTCTCTCATTTAAACATAAGCAATGAACTCAAAGCTTTTATAAGTGGTGAGTACAGGCCAAACCAGCACACCACGGCGGGCTGCAGCCTCTCACCTCATGAGCTGTTCCGACTTCCTGGGAGGGCAGCCTGGCACCAGGGAGGGAGGCCGGGCAGGGTGGGGTTGCCGCAGCACCCGTTCTAACTTAACCCCTGGTCTGTCTCTCCAGGTACCTAGTCACTGAAGGCCAGATCTTCATCCTCTTCATCTTCACCTTCTTTGCCATGCTGGCCCTCGTCCTGCACCAGAAGCGCAGGTGCCTCTTCCTGGACAGCAACGGCCTCTTCCTCTTCTACTCATTCACCCTCACCCTCTCACTGGTGGCGCTCTGGGTCGCTTGGCTGTGGAATGACCCCGTACTCAGGAAGAAGTACCCAGGCGTCATCTATGTCCCTGAGCCCTGGGCCTTCTACACCCTCCACGTCAGCAGTCAGCACTGAATCTGGGGCAAAAGCCATGGCTGTGTCACTGGGAGACATGGGCCGTGGAGGGTAATGCAGCAAGGACGCACCGCTTGCCACCTGCTCGTCCTCAGGCCTGCGCTGACCCTGGACACTAGGTCATGCCAACTTTCTCTATATTGTTGAGCAAAGCACCTCTCATTTGTGCTAGACAGGCCCATGGTCCCAAAGTGACTCAGTGCTCTGGATTTGCTGACCTCTTTATAGTAGCCTTGTCATGGGTGGGTGCTTCCATCCTATCGTCACCCTCTTCCAGCCTGGGAGGGGTGTGTGTACCCCAAATCCTTATCTGACCTCAGTCCCCACATGGTACAGAGCCACCCTCACCCCAGGGAGCCAGAGGCCCAGCCTGAAATTTGGGCCTGGCAATGCAGGCCCACCTGCAGGTCCAGCCTCCCACCCCAGGACAGTCACGGCACCTGCGGGGTACAGCTGGCTATGGGGTTTTGAGCTGCCGTGGAAGGAGATCTGAAACCCTGGCTCTGTTCCCTGAGTCGCATTGTAGGGTCAGGGCTCCTCATGGCTTTCCACACTCAGCCCTGTTTCCGCCCGAGTCACTGGCCTTCTGCCAGTGGCCCTGCTCCCAGAAAAAGGAGGCCTCCTTCCCAGCATGGTGAGCCCTGCCTCAGCCCCCTTCCCCCAGGGCTCCAGGTACCCTCGCAGCACAGAGCACCGAAGCCTCATTTCCCAGCTCCACTGGCCCATGCGGACTGTGGTCTCAGGGGTCTGCCCTGCCTCACCCCAGGCCTGAGATTCTTTTCTCACATTGGGGCCCACACCCCCGACCAAGGGTCCCTCAGACCCTGGGCCAATCCCTACCTGCTGGCAGCCCTGAGAAGAGGATGAATAGAGGCTGGTGTGGTATCCAGCCTGGCTGGTGGCTATTTCTGAGGTGTGAAGTGGGGGAGAGGGGGTTCTAGAGTGTTCTAGAGGTTGGCTGGCCTGGGGCCCAGGCTAGAGCTCACAGTTCCCTCTAGCAGCTGTCCTGGGCTACTCGACCTGGTTTGGTCACTGCCCACCGTTTCTGTACACCACTTGGTAGGCTCCTGGGGTGAGGGGCAAGAAGAGCCTCTTCATCCTGACCAGTCCAGCTCTTTTAGGAGGAATGGGATGGGGCATTTCCTGACCTGCCCCTCTGGGATGGCCCATTGGGCCTCCCAGCTGTGCTGCCTTTTGGGAGATGATGGGAGGCTGGCTTGCTGGAGGTGTCCCTTAGCCTTGGGTAAGTCATTTGACCTCTACAGGCCTCAGCCCTTAATATTCAAAGGTCTCAGCCTCCCATACAGCCACCGTGGGCTGATGTCAGACAGCACTGAAAAGGCCACCAGGCAGGAGATGGCTCCATCCATGTGTCCTGTGTCCCCACCTGTCCAGCACACTCCTTTGCTTCCTTCCCTACCTCGAGGACACTGGACTTCATGGACCTCTCATAAGCAGAGGCGGGCCTCGTGGTGGGGGCCCGTGTAATCTTATTCAAATTGGGAAGCCACTGCTAAGGAAAAAGAAAAGCATGAAAGTGGATGTTCAGAAAGGGAAAGCAATAAATCACTGGAGCCTTGAAGATTTCTGTCCCTCTTGAGATCTCTTGGGCACTTTGCTGGGGATGTTTTCCTGGAAAGATGACTTGATTCGTTGCCTAGAAAAGCCACAGGCCAGTGATTCTCAGAGTACATTAGGACGCACAGGAGAATGCACAGCTTTGCCCACACTGCTGAATCAGAACCGGGAGACAAGGCTGCAAGGTGATTCTGATGTGGGCTTCCGTTGGGGAACTGCCAATCCAGGTCCTGGCTACTCTCAAAGTGTGGTCCCCAGACCTGCAGCCTCCACTTCACCAGAGAACTGGGGAGGAGCAAGGCAGCCTACCCCATGGAGACTTTCTGAGTCTGTCTTGTGGCATCTAAGTGATCCAACCACAGGGTGGAGGGGGCAGGGGCCAGCGTGCCCAGGTGCAAACATGTGGCCTTTGTGAACTTTTTTGTGTGTGGTGGTGGTGCTGGGAATTGAAACCAGGACCTTGTGCATGTAAGGCAAGCACTCTACCAACTGAGCTACGTACAGCCCAGCCCACAAGCTTAATAGCCTCAAAACAGTTTATCCTCAGTTCTGGAGGCTAGAGGTCCAGAATCCAGGTGTTGGCAAGGCTGTCTTCAGCAGGAGGATCCTTCACCTCTTCTGGCTTCTGGTGGGACACAGACAATCCTTGTGTTCCTTGGCTTGTGAAACCACCCAGCTCTGCTTCTGTGGTTCTGCAGCCCTTCCCTGCATGTCTCTGAGATCCCTCCCCTTGGGTTATGATCCACCTTAATCCAGGATGACCTCATCTAAATTCTATTGGCAAAGACTTCCAAATAAGTTCTGTCACAGGTTCCAGGTGGATATGAATTCTGGGACACTGTTCAATCAAGTAGAGGCCTGAAGTTTAGACTTCATGAGCCCTCCACTCTGGGGCACACAGGACAGGGGAAAGCAAAAGCCAGTGGGTCTTTGAGGGCCATCTCTGTCCTTTTCCCAGCAGGTGTGCACAAAGCCTGCCAACACTTGTGTGCCCCGGGTCCCTGGGGCTAGCTACTCTGTTGGCCCCTGGGTGTGGAGTGGGAAGCCCTCATGGGGAGAGCTTGGCTCAGGAACAGTGCAAGATGGAGAGGAGACTCCTGCATTCCTGGGAAGGATAGGAGTGGGGGCTGTGGGCAGGAGCCTAGAGCTTTTTCCAGCGACACCTGTGTTAGACGTTGGGACCCAGGGGTCCTGCTTGGGAACCTCTTGGACAAAGTATCCTGGGCCAGGGGGTGTAGGGAAGAGGAGCTTCCCCTGGCCTGGAACCCTTCCTGTGAGGGTCCAGAGAATGAAGGGCAGGGAGAAGGGACCCAGAGGAAGCCATGGTATGCAGGGGAGGTGCCAGGCTCCCAAGAGGGGCCAAGGTTCAACAATAAAGTGAACAAACTCAGGCCTCAGGTGGTACCGGAGGTGTGTGCTGTTGATTCGACTTGCTGCGTCTTGCACCCGCTGCTCTGGGCAGCTTGAGTTTGTGTGTGGTGAACCCTCTTGAGACCACGGCCCCAAAGCAGGTTCTTCATCATCTGTGAGACCCCTTGGAGACCTACAGGGGTAAGGGGAGTTGGTAAGAATGGCAGGGAGCTCTGGGGCACATAGCTCACCAGAACACACGCCAACCTAAACCCCAGGGAATGGCCCCCTGCTCCCAGCCCCTCCCAAAGGCAGGTGATCTGGGGAGAACATCTCAGCCTGGTTGTCCCAGGCCCCACAGCCCAGGTCTAGCCTGCCTTTCCAAGCCCTGCTGACTTCCCCTCTCGTCCTCCTCCGGAAGCTCCTCTGAGCAGGCCTCTCACCTTCTGTACTCCACCCACCATGGGCCCATCCTAGGCTACAGGGAGGAACCAGAACCTTCTAGCCAAATTCTCTGGGTCCCACAGAGGTTTGAAGAGGTGACTCAGGAGGCAATTTGGGAGAAAGGAGAACTCTTCACATGGAGGTGGTCAGAACAGGAAGGAGGGAGAAGAATGGACCAAAGCCAGGCTCTTGTACAAATTAACAAGAGGTCCCTCTTCTTTGGCACCGGCAGTCCCTCACCCCCCACTGTGTAGGGTACAACCTGATGGCCCTGACAGCATGGGCAAAGCTTGGATTTAGAACCCGCAGCCAACCCAGGGAAAGGGGACAAGACAAGGCTGAGAACCCAGTTCTGCCCAGCACCCAGTGGCTCTAGGGCACCCACCTGCCCCTGTCCTTTGTGGGTGATGGGAGCACTTGGGAGTCAGCAGGCTATGGCAGGTGGCTAGGAAGAGAAGGGGAAGGAAGAGTGGAGGAGCCTTCCCAGCCAGGGGAGGGTCACCTGAGAGGACGCACTGAGTAGGTAGATGCAGGGCTGGACAGCAGCCTGGCCACCCACAGACACTCCCAGGGACCTGAAAGGCGGGAGAGCTGGCAAAGGATGGGAGTCAGCTGGGCGCTGGCTACTTGATTCTCCCAGCAACCCGTAATGCGGCCTGGCAAGGGGGGGACTGAGGCACAGAGAGGCAGTGACTGGGAACTGCAGGCCGGAGGATTGGACCCCAGCCCCAGTGTACTGAGGCCTGTGTTCCTGCAATCCATCCCCCAAGGCTGAGATCCAGACTCTGAGCTGGCCCATCCGGGACAGGCTCCATTCCTCTGCAGGGTTGTGGGTGACAAGTCTTCAGGGAGAGTGTGTGCAGTGCCCGATTCCAAGAGGGAGCTTGTCAGAGGGAGCAAGTTCCCTGAGGCAGGCCCAGACTCAGCCCTACCCCAGGGCCGCCTTTCTGTTCTCTAATGTCCCCTCTCAGAGTCTGGGGATGGTTCACTTGCTGCAGAGCATCAACCTCCAGAGACAGGGGCCCTGAGTCTCACAAGAGCCCTTCTGCGGCCGTTTCCTCAAAATCAACCTGCCTGGGTTGGCCAGACATCTGCCATGCACGGGAAGCTGGAATCTGACCCTGGTGGCGTAGGGCCCGGTCTCCATGGCAGCAGAGGATTTATTACTGTGGCCTCCACCCAGCTTGGCGGACTTTCAACTCAAAGCCAGAGGAAAAGGAAATGAGAAGCTGGTTCTGAGAACAGCGGGAGCCCCACGATGGTAAAGTGGGGACCCATGGCCAGCCGGGTGGGGAGGGCCTCTCACAGAACCCTGCCCTGACTGTCTCCCTCTCTCTGCTGCAGGCCAAGTTTCTTTCCCAGGACCAAATTAATGGTAGGTTGGTTTGCTCTTTAGTTAGCAGCTCCCAGCACAATCTAGACCTCTTTATTTTCTCTACTCCTTTTCTGCTCAAGGGAAGGAGGGCCCCAGCCACACCCACGGCAGGGGTCCAGCCGCTGCAGGGATACCCTTGGTGGTGGTGGGGGGGACCTCAAGTGGTGGTGGTGGGACTGCTGGCTTTATGTTTGTCTGGGTGGTTTACAAGCCAGGTCCTGGAGTTCCCGCCAGAGCCAGATGGTCAGATTTGGGGAGGAAAAGGTCAGGGAGGAAGAGAGAGACCATTAACAGACTGAAAGGCAGGAAAAGAAAGGGGCTTTGTGATTGGCAGAGAGAGAGAGCCCAGGTCTGCGCCCTTGGGTAGGATGGTCTCCTGGGCCTCAGTTTCCCCATCGTAAAACAGGGTCAGCCGGGGCCCTTCTGCCTAGTCTGAGCATGAACACTCTCCTCTCTGGGTCCTTCAGTTTCATGTGGCTGGGTTGTTTCCACAAGGCCAAGAGGAGAGGGTTGAGTTACACAGAACTGGGGCCAGACTTGGGCTGCGGGGGCTGATCCGGAGCACTGGGCAGAAGAGGTCTCCCCACGGCGAATGTAGCAGCTGCTCCTGAGGCCGTGCCCCTGAATCTGCCCCAACAGTGACAGCCCTGGGACTGGTAGTCGGCCCCTGTGCATCCCACCCCCAAATCTCTCTGCCGAACTGTCCCATTGTCAGCTAGACCTTCCTGACCGCTAGAGATAAAACGGCAGGCACCCTGGGCCCATGATGCCCTTGCTTCTGTAGAATCTGGACATGGCTCCATGTTAACTGTGATTCTAGAGTTCTGGGTCCCCGAGCTTGGTCTAGAAGGGACGGGTGGGGTTGTGGGCTCCAGGTGGGTACCTAACCACAGACCCCTGTCTTGACTCCTTACCCCTAAACTAGGCCAAGACCAGAAAGAGCACGCCAGGGGGCTTTTAAAGTGCCAGGCCCAGGGCAGGGCCCCTCCTCCCCAGCTCTATAGGTGACACTGAATGGCAGGTCAGGGCTGGAGTCCAGCTCTCAGCCTGTGTCCTCCACCCACGCGTGGACATGAGGCTCGCTGGCTCCCCCTCCTGGGGCCTCTGGAACTCACCAAGGGAAAGAAGATAATTTCTGTTGGTATCCGAGTCTCTGGCACCAAGAAAGCGACCACTAATGTTTAATGAATGAAAGACTAAACAGGGATAGTGGGAAGAACAGGAGCTTTGGAGGCAGCGGGCCTAGAATCCAACCACCTGAGCTTCAGTTTTCTCACCTGTGAGGTAGGAAGAGGGATGCCGCCTCATCTGGCCTCTGTGTGCTAGGGACAAAGAAGCTTGCCAGCATATGAGAGCTACATATTTAGGAATTTCACAAGCCAGTTGTCAGAGCCAGAGACTGTTAAATAACATAGGCTCAAACAATGTGCCAAGCCCTACAGAGAGCTAAGAAGACAGCCCTGCTGCCCCCGGATTTGAAAGAAGTTTCAGCTTAATGAATATAATTTGTACTAGGGCGAGAATTAGTTTAACAGTAGATCGCTTATCAGATTGAATGACAACACAATTTCAATTCATTGGAAAAAGAATTGCCTTCTTTTGTCATGATTTGACAAGTGAAGCTGGCAGGTAACCTCCCTTGTCAAATCATGGTTGAACCCAAACTGTAGGTTAGCAGTGAACCTGAGTATTGGTGAAACTCACTTGTGATAATCAATCAACTAGACTGACTTTTTTAGAGTTGACTCTTTTGCTGTGTGTAAGTCGTGTGTTTCCCATCCTCTGTCGAGTGCGTAGGAAACACGTACATATATGTCAGAGCTGTTGCTAAACGTTCTCCAGCACGTCACTAGCGTTCTCCTAGGCCTTTTCTGGGACTTTTGCATTTTCCAAGAGAAAACCTAAAGGGGACTTTTAATCCAATTCATCTAACCCTGTTCATTCTTTCATTCAACAAATTTTTGAGTCCTTTCCTGGTGCCAGCCCAGCTCCCTGCATTAGAGATAGAGCAATGAACAATAGAAGACCTCTCCCCTCTCAGGGGCCCCAGGGGAGGACAGAAGGAGAGTGAAGGATGGAGTGTGGGGATGGCTGGACAGTGAGGGGGAACCCCAGGGAGAGGGGAGAGGTGCGGAGGGAGTGCTGGGGCCAGCCCTGCCAGGGCTGCTCTCCAGGTGGCCCTGTTCTCTTGTTCCAGTGTAGGAACTCCAAGTTCAGATCTGGCCTTGCAGGTTTTAAAAGGTATATTTGTTTCAGTAGGAAGACAGAATGCACTCGAGCTATCTGTTTGTTAGGAGGTGGGTCTCCATTTGAGCCCTGCTTGCTGATCACATAGGGGATTCAGTGTGCCCATCTGAAGAGCCAGACGATTGTCCCTGCCTTCCAGCTCTGACCAGTTAGAGACAACAGCCAGGAGAGCCAGGGCACATGAGAAACCCAGACAGAAAAGGAATGCAGGGTACGGTGGTGCATGCTGGTTGAAAGGAAAGTGACCACAACACTCAGAGCAACCAAAAGATCTTTATTGCAGCAGTGCAACAAAGAGAAAGGAAAGAAGGAAAGAGAGAGAAAAGAGAAGAGATGAACAGGGAGAGAGCAAGAGCAAGAGAGAGACAGAGAGCGCGCGTAAGAAAGATAAAGAGCAAGAGGGAGAGAGAGAGCAAGAGAGAAAGAGCAAGAGAGAGGGGGCCTGGCAGGAGGGAGTTTTTATAGCCCAAATCTAATGGGGCCTCTGGGTCTGCAAGCTGCCTTGTTGGCCCAAGGGGGGGTTAAGTGTTCAGCCTTGAGCAGGACTTGACACAAACAGGTGATAAAGGACTAGATAGAGGGGGATTTGAGTGTGTGGGCTATCTTGCAGCCAACATCTGTTCAGCCTGCCCTGCAGACAACACAGTTCAGCCTGCTCTGCACCCAACACTGGTAATTCCTGCAACTTGGGAGGCTGAGGCAGGAGGATAACAAATTCAAGCCTCAGCAACTTAGCTAGACCCTGTCTCAAAATAAAAAATAAAAGGGAGTGTGGGTGGCTCACTAGTAGCACACCCCTGGGTTCAATCCTCAGTACCACACACACACACACACACACACACAAAAGCAGGGTAGCCGTGAGGACACCAGGAACCACACCAGGAAGAGGACTGAGGGTCTTTATTAAGGAACACAAAGCCACCCTAGGCCTGGGCGACGGGGTTGAGGGATGTACTCTGCCTAGTCTCCACCCCACCCTGCTGTCCCGGGTCGGAGGCAGTGTTGCCTGTTGGACAGAGCTCCACTTCAGGGGTCACGCTGCTTAGGTGAGGTTTGAGGCCACTCTAGGATGGCCTCACACCTGCCCAGCAGGAATAGACAGTGCCCGTCAGAGGGTGAGGATTAAACAAGGGCTGGGGTGATGTGCTCAGCAATGGGAACTGCCCTTGTTATTTCTGTTACTAGTTAGCAAGTCCCTAGTCCAGGCCTCTGAGGATCCACCCAGGTGTGAAGGCAGTAGAGGAACAGATCGTGGAGCCCAGGCTGGAAGGCCAGGGCCAGGGTCCCAGAGCACCTCCAGAGGGCAGCCCACCCTCACCAGAGTCAGGATCCCAGTCTGCCAGCCTGGGACCTTTCCCAAGCTCCTGACTGGCTTTCTTCAGCTTCCAGGGCTTGGGAACCACAGGATAGTCTTGTTGGATTGTGGAATACTGTAACTAGCGCAGCCTGAGCTCTGGCAGCTACTTCATCTTGCTAAGTATCAAGAAAGAAAGGGCCGCGGGGCAGAGTCACCAGCCACCTAGGTTCAGAGCCTGGGGCGCCTCCGGGCAGTTCCCCTTGAAGGCTTTGAAACCAGGCCCAGGCTGTGTCAGAGGGCAAACAGCTTCAGGGGCCAGCAGCCTGGAGGCCCAGGGCTGGGCCAGGCACTCAGAAATGCCCTCAGCTGCCGTGGTAGTAGCAGTAGTAATAATAATAATGATAGTAAATCGTTAAACATGAGAGCCACTTGTTGCCAGGCTCCCTGGAGGGATTTCCTCTGAGTCTGGCTGCCCGGCTGTGGGCGCTAGCCCTCCCTGGGAAGCCCGGGAGGTATTTCAGTTAGCTGTGGGAAGGGAGAGAAAGGGACTGAGGAAGGAAAAGGAGGAGTGAGGCAGGGTTGCCACATAAAATGCTGGACACCCTCTTAAATTTGAACTTCAAATAAACACAAATATTTTCTTAGTGTGAGTATATTCCATGCAAAACTTGGGACATACTTACACTAAAAATTCACCATTTCTCTGAATTCAAATTGAACTTGGAAGTTTTGTGTTTTCCTTTGCTGTATCTGGAAACATTAGTTGGGGATAAGTGTGAGGAGGGGGCCAAAGGAAGGGGAAAAGAAGTGTGAAGGAGGGCTGGGGTGCAGCTAGGACCTGGGTTCCATCCCCAGTACTGCAAAAAAAGGGGGCCCTGGGTCCCAGGGAAGAGGGCAGAGGAGGGGTGGGTGGAGAGTGAGTGAACACAGCTGGTCCTCCCTCCTGCTGTGCAGAATACAAGGAATGCTTCTCCCTGTACGACAAGCAGCAGAGGGGCAAGATAAAAGCCACTGATCTCCTGGTGGCCATGAGGTGCCTGGGAGCCAGCCCGACGCCTGGGGAGGTGCAGCGGCACCTGCAGACCCACGGGATAGGTGAGTGGGCTGAGTGGGCTCCAGGAGGGGCGAGCGGGTGGCGCAGAGGGTGGGGTGTGTAGGGCTCACAGGTTAGAGAGGCAGGGGGCAGTGAACCTCCCAGGAGGCAGCTGGCCAAGTGCACTCTGCCTCATCCTCAAGGCAACGGTGACACCCCACCTTGCAGGGGCCCTGGGTCTGGCCATTCCACCAGGTTTATCACAGACCTAGAGAGCAACAGTGCTGCCGGTGATCCCAATGTTGTTTTTATAGAAAAATGTCCCTTTGGTGAACATCTACCAAACGCTTAGCTCAAATCACCCCAAGAGGGTAGCTGTCCTGATTCTACTCTGCAGGCAAAGATCAAGACTCACAGCCATAGGTAACTTGCCCAAGTACTTAAGCCAATGGTAGAATCAGGATTGGAACTCAGTTCTTTTGATTTCAAAGACTTTCCTGAAAACCATGCATGACTGCTAGGAAACTGGAAGAAAACCCTTTTGAAAAGTGGTTCTCTCTGGTGATAGGATTAAGGCTGGTTTTCATTCCTTTTATTGTTCCCTGTATTTTCAACAATGGGAACAGATAGGTCTCTTATCAGAAACAAGTTTTGTGGTTTCTTTTTTTTTTTTTTTAAGTTTTAGTTATCAATGAACCTTTATTTTATTTATTTCTATGCAGTGCTGAGAATCTAACCCAGTGACTCACATGTGCTAGGCAAGTGCTCTACCACTGAGCTACAACCCCAGCCCCTTTGTGATTTCTTTGGGAGATTTGTTTTTAACTTTATTTTTAAAGTCTGGGGTGTCTATTTACATTGGGAGCTGGATGCCCAGGAAGGAGGGACTGGCCTAGAGGAAGAAGTGGCCAGCTTCCAGCATTTAACTGGAGCCCCCAGGTCACCTCTCAGTCTCTGGTTCTCAGCATCTGTTGGGGCACTAGAGGTCACATTAGCACACCTGCAGCAACGAGCCCTGGGAGCCATCCTGGGGCAGGTTTTGGAGGGCCAGAGCCTGGTGATAGGGCACTCAGTGGTCTCATTTTCAGCTCTGAAGGAGTGGTGGTTTTTGTCTCCTCTAAACAGGAAGTTGTGGTCAGGGGAAGTTCTGACTTCCTGCTGTTGTGGCCAAGCCAGTGTGTGGGCGGAGGCTTCCGGACATGCCTGGAGGGGGCTGCAGGGAGGGAAAGGCACGAGAGCAGGTGGGGAAGGACCTGAGGCTTGAGCTGGGGGTGGGGTACTTATCCCTCCTCAGGGACCTGCTCTGGTGGCAGAAGTGTGTGTGTGGGGGACACATGGACCCAGTTCCTTCCAGTTCAGGGGAGGAGGGAAGCACCAGAGGGAAGGGGAGCAGTTGGTGATGACTGTGACTACACACTACAAACTTCTGTCCCCTGAGGGGGCAAAACGAGGGGATGATAACCATGGTCACCAAGGGTCACTGGGTGGATGAAATGAAGACTATCCAGTCCAGGAGCTGGTCCATGGTGGGAACTCAGTAGTGGCGGCTGTGTCTTCTTCACCATGACCACTGTCACCATTGTGAACCAGGTGGAGCTGGCGGTGACAAGGGTGCAAGGAGGTAGGTTGACTTCCCCAAGAGCCTTTCCCTCCCTGCTCACTCTGCTATTTGGGGGTTTCTTAGACAGAAATGGAGAGCTGGATTTCTCCACTTTCCTGACTATTATGCACACGCAAATAAAACAAGAGGATCCAAAGAAAGAAATTCTTCTGGCCATGTTGATGGCAGACAAGGAGAAAAAAGGGTACATCATGGCATCCGAGCTGCGAGCGAAACTCACGAGACTCGGAGAGAAGCTCACCCAGAAGGAAGGTAATTAATTGCCTGACCAGGCTCCCAACGTCAGCAGAGGGTTAGGGAGTTGGGGGAGTTCACCAAAGTACCATCAATGCCACCATGGTTGTACAGGCTTCTGTAGTTGATATACAGCTGCAAAGCCCAAGAGCAGTCACACTAGCCGGGGACTGGTCTGGGCCCAGTGGTCAGGGTGGAGGGTTAGCCTGGGGAAAGCCCAGCTTGGATCCACTTGGGCAGCAGGATAGTGGGACATCTGCCCCGCCTCATGCTGTGCCTAAGCTCACTGGATCTTCATTTAGTGCACAGGACACCTGGGGAACATGAGTGTCCCTTTACCTGATCAAGAAACTGATGAGGCTGGGCGTGACCACATACGCCTCTAATCCCAGCAGTTCAGGAGGCTGAGGCAGGAGGATCGAGAGTTCAAAGCCAGCCTGAGCAAAAGCAAGTTGCCAAGCAACTCAGTGAGACTCAGTGGCTCAGTAGTCGAATGCCCCTGAGTTCAGTCCCCAGTACACCACTCCACCCCCCCAAAAAAGGAGCTGACAGGGGCTGGGATTGTGGCTCAGCGGTCGAGGGCTTGCCTAGCACGTGGGAGGCCCTGGGTTCGATCCTCAGCACCACATAAAAATAAATAAATAAAACAAAGATATTGTGTCCAGTTACAACAACAAAAAATAAATAAATATTAAAAAAAAAGAAGCTGATAAGTGAGTGGTTGTGGGTCAGCGGAGCTGGGAGCTGGATGGAGGTTGAGTGCTGTCCCCATATCACAGCCAGCTGAACAGGGCTGCAGCGTGCTTTCCAAATGGAAATGCTACTTTGCTACTGACTGGAAGATTTAGAGTTCAAGAAGGGGCCTTTGCAGGGTCAGGTGGAGAATAGACCTTGCCTCACACCTCCCAGCGGCCCGTGTGCCTTCCTGCCTTGGAGCAGGACCAGAGGCCTGGGCCTTGGGCCTTCTGGGAAAGCCCTTTGTACATGGTAATGAAAAACCCCATACTGATCCATCTGTGGGTATTCTTCCTGCCTCTCAGCACTAGTTGGTAGTCCCTGGGTCCTGCCTCAGCTGGCATCCCTGGGAGGCCAGGGTTTCTACTTAGGCAGCTCAATTGTCAGCGACCATCTGGATAGGAAGGCTAGGCTTGGCCACAGTGGGTGTAGGAAAAGGGCTTCAGTAACAACCGACCATCAGCCTTTGGCCAAATCCCAACAAACACTGCAGGGGGTTCGGTTCCCCCTCCTCTCTGGGGACCTCCCATAGGTTCCTTACTCCCTGGAAATGAGGTAGTAACCATCCCTCAGGGCCCTCCAAGAGCTCACATTCTATAAACCCTTCTGCTCAGATTTCATCTGCCTTCACAAAGGCACAGAGCAAAGCATTTAAAAATAGCGCTCGGGCAGGCAGATTCCTCTTCCCCCGCATTCTCAGGCTGGCAGCTATCACAGTCTCATCTTTCATTGTGGCTGTTTTCAAGTGAACAGGGGGAATCGTGGGCTGTCCTCAACCTCCCAGGCTCTGAGGACACTGCTGGCCCTCCATGTGCCAGGTGGAGTGTCAGCAGAGAGAGCAGGGGGTCCTGATTCTGTGGTTAATGATCTCTGGTCAAAGCAACACCATGGCCCCCAAACACACATCTCTTATTTGTTTAACCTGCAAAGAACATTTCAAAGAAAGTGGTGGAGACCAATTTCCTTCCCACTTGCTGTGGGAGAAAGGATGATAACAGAAGTAGGAATCCTTTTTTTTTTTAGTTGTAGTTGGATACAATACCTTTATTTTATTTATTTATTTTTATGTGGTGCTGAGGATTAAACCCAGCGCCTCGCACGTGCTTAGGCGAGCGTTCTACCGCTGAGTCACAACCCAGCCCCAAAGAAGTAGGAATCTCTTATCCTTGGTGATTGAAAAAAAATATTCAGTTTTATTGAAGAGAGGCCACAGTGGAAAAGGATAAACTGAATGGCTCTTCTTGCCAGTGCCTGGGACAAGCTACTATTTTATCTCAGAAGTCTAAAGCCAGAGGGGAGAGATGCAAATGAAGTTTTTAATTTTATTTTTTAAGCAAGGCAGAATTAACAGCAGTTTTGCAAGATTTGAGCCTTACACACTGTTAGATTTATTTTCCCAGGCCCAAAATACATATCTTTTCTTTATTGGTGTAAGGCACGTGCTCTACCCATGAGCTGCACCCCTGCCCTACGCTTTTCTTTAGAGGTGGTGGTAGCAGAAGCGCTTATCACTAGGCCCTCCTGGCATGGAGGTATCTTGGGGAGGAACATTGACATGGAGGAGTGGGGAGGTGAGGGGCAGCTGAAGCCTGGGTGGCTCTGTCCAGAAAGGAGCTGCAGAAAATACCTATGGTGGCGGGCAGAGGGGTGGGTGATAGCAGACAAAATGTCTGGGCCAACTCTCTCTCTAAACCAAGGCTCAGAGGTCTGAGATCTTCTTCACAAGAAAACAAGAGGTGGGGGCTGGGGCTGGGACTCAGGAGCAGAGCACTTGCCTGGCATGTGTGAGGCACTGGGTTCGATTCTTAGCACCACATATAAATAAATGAATAAAAATAAAGGTCCATCAACAACTAACGAAAGAATATAAACACGAGGTGGCTTCAGTGACTGGATTTTCGCCAGGATTCCTGCCCAGCCCCTGGCAAAGCCTGAAAACCAAACCAGTGGATTCCCAGATGGGAGTGGGCAGGTTGTCTTATGTTCTGGTTTACTCCCTGATGTACAAGAAGTTCCCTGGACGCTCAGGGAAGACCTTTGGGGAGCCCCAACCTCCAAAGAAGTGTCTTATAACCCCAAATCCAAACAAAAATTTCATGTGATTTATTGCAGTGGAGGATCTTTTCAAGGAAGCAAATATTGAACCAAATGGCAAAGTGAAGTATGACGAGTTTATCCAGAAGATCACCCTTCCTGTGCAGGACTACTGAATGAGCAGAGTACAAGAGAGGATCCCTGGGTCTGAAAACCTGGACTGGTTGATTTTTTAAAAGGAAAATGTTCCTTTAATTCTAGGGTGATGGCAAACACCGTGCAAAGACAACATTAGCAGGGCATAAGCAGCAATAAGTAATTCCAGCCATGGTATCAGCATGTCTTTAATAAAAAAGATTTGTATTACCAGGTTCGGTGGCACACGCCTGTAATCCCAGTGGCTCAGGAGGCTGAGGCAGGAGGATCGAAAGTTCAAAGCCAGCCTCAGCAAAAGCGGGGAGCTAAGCAACTCAGTGAGACCCTGTGTCTAAATAAAATGTGAAATAGGGCTGGAATGGGGCTCAGTGGTCCTGAGTTCAATCCCTAGTGCCTCCTTTCCCACGAAGATTTGTGTTGATTTCAGTAGCTCTCATGAGTCCAGCCCTTCCTGTTGGTTTAGTCAGGCCTACATTCCAGTCCTGGGTCTGCCACTTACCAGCTCTATGATTTCATCCCTGAGGGCCTTAGGGTTCAGACAAAGCCTGGATCTCTAGTCTTACCTCACTGAGCCCATTGAGGAAGGATGGAGATAGATAGGGCCTTGAAAATGCACACAGCCTGAAGGGCATGTGGAATCCGAGTTCCCATTACAGCGTTTCTCCTGAAGAGGGCAGGCTACCCAGAAGCGCGCTCTGTATTTGGGTGCTGGAACCACTTTCCACATTTTCAAGATAGAGCCAGTGCTAGCTGAGAAATGGCAACAAGCAGAGTGAAAACACACACACACACACACACACACACTCTTCTTGAAGCACCATAGACCCACTCAAATTCTCCTCTCCTTTTCGACAGAGTGACATGGTTCAGGACACTCATTTATCAACAGAGAACAGGGTAGCAACACTCTCAGAATGTTGAGCTGTGCACTGGGCTCTGTTTGCAGGCACAGAAGTTCCAGAAAGTAGGATGATGTGCTCAAGTGACCTAAACTGATCATAATCTTAAGCTGGGACTAACATGGAGGATGTCACTAAGAGGTGTCTTCCGGGTCATGGCCATGGTTGGAAAGATGGCTGGAAACAGTTGTGGGGCAACAGTCCTTCTGGGAGCACTTCCAGCTCAAGTAACTTTGAGTTACACAGTCATGAGTGGCAGGCGGGGCTGCCTGGGACTCAGAGATGTCCATGCATTTGTCAAATTGAGGGCCTAGGGATACTGTTGGCACAGTCCTAAAAAGGGCAGGAGTAACACAGCAGCATGGGTGGGGGACAGACCCCCTAGCAGGAATATTTTTATCTATTTGTTAAAATTAGGCTGTGGCTGAAACATCAGAAAACCAGATTATGAAGGGGGAATGTCTTTTGGAAGGTTATATATGACACTGATCTTTTACTAAAGGTGAGGCACAGGTTAAGTGCAACCATCTCATCCATGTTGCATGGCATCAGACCCAACTGAGGTTCTGAGAAAAGAGGCTATCATTTCCCCAATAGTATAATTGCCAAGGGGAGTTGAGCAGAAATGTCCTAGCTGTAAATAAGTGTTTTTAGGGTACCGGGGAGGCAAGAAATGGCCCAAATACCAACTAAATGAATTTGTGATCATCCAGCTGGGGAGTTGGGACCACCCATTCAGGAGCAGATGTAGGTTTTAAGGGATTTGAGGTTTTTATGACTTGGTGGTTGTCTTTAATAAAACAGAAATAGTCAGGTGCAGTGGCACACTCCTATAATCCCAGCAACTTGGGAGGCTGAGACAGGAGGACCAAAAGTTTGAGGCCAGCCTCAGCAAGAACTTCATCAATTTAGCAAGACCCTATCTCAAAATAAAGAGGGCTGGAGAGAGGGAGAGGGGGCCAGAGAAAAAAAGAGAGGGAGGGAGGGAGAAAGAATACAATACACAATTTCTGGAGCAGCACTCAGGACCCTGGAAGAGGTAAGAGCAAGTCAGGGTACTGAACACTTAAAACTTCATTATCTAAACAGTAAATCCACTTGAAGGCACACTGAAACTTGGCCTCCAAGAAAGATCTGCTATATTTCACTGTTAGGCAAGGGTCCCAAACAAACGCTTCTTTTAAACTCTAGTCACCAACATTAGGAAGCAAAACCAATCTGGAATACCAAATCTAGCCAGGTGATAAATACTGATGGAACAGGAAAAGGAAATTCTGAACTATAATAATAAAGCTCTGTTCTATTTATCACTGGCCAGAATATGGTTTTAAAGCAAGTTCTAGGAATCTCCTTTGCCTAACAGAAACATGAAGTATAGCTTGCCAAAAGCACGCGGTGGGCAGGGTGATCATCAGAACCCCTGCCTCATGGTCCTTATCAAGGGTCGGGGTGGCTGGCAGTCAAGTTCCTATGAAATTACCTCAGCCCCAGGAGAGGCTTTTAGCTCCCTCAGTCCTGGGTTTCATGCTCATTCCTGAAATTCCGATTGGCTTACCTGGCACCTGGTGCTTTTAGAAAAACAGTCACAGTGTTCTCAGCAAACTGCAGGTATTAAACAGATTTAAAACTAAAGAAATGCTGTGGTTCATTACAAAGCTTGCCATATTTCAATAAGAAAGGGAAACGGTGGCCATGTATTAATTACTTACCTCAAAGCAGCTGCAAGCCTATTAGGTGCTCATCATGCTTTGAAATCTCGGGATGAAAGGGGCTTTGGAATCACAAAGCACTGTCACTTTTCTCATTGGGACTGTCCCCTGGTCCACCCAGTAATATTATTTTACAGAAGACAAATTAACTGAAGGCTTTTCTTTTATTACGTCTAAAGAGCTCTACATAAACAGGTAACATTCAATAGGTAAACAATTTTTTTCCAATGCATGTAATAAATATTTTCACTTGGTACTTTTATACAAACTGACATTGGTCTACTATACATTTTTAAAAGCCATTTTACTGGTTTGGCATGCGGTATGGAAATCCTAAGAGAGAAAGTCTTAAGGCAATGAATCACAGATTTAAGTTCATGGAATTTATGGTAACTTTTATATCTGTTTATATACATTTTCCCCTTTGTTAATTAAACAACAGCAGCACACTTTGGGACCACCAGCTAGTCTCCCTCCCTCTTTCTGAAATCTAAGTTTTGTGTTTAATTAAAAAACAGAATTCAACATGTACTTACAAAAAGAAATTCTTACTAAAATAAATGCAAACGTGCTTTAAAAAGTCCTGAAGATCCTGAAAGTTTTATGTACTTGAAATTGTTTTAGAAACAATGCCTTTTCCATATTTATTAATTTACAGCTGGGATATATTTTCAATTTCACACACTTGTTTCAAAGGAAAATCTACCCAAGAAATCACATCTTTCAGAAGCATAAATGAATCTTAAGTCAGTAATGATATAGAATTGTGATACTCTAAATCAATAATAGAAAAAATTTAATGCTCAAAACAGTCAACCAAGTGTGGCATGGTTAAGTATCAGACTTTTTTAAAAAAGAGATGTGTCCAACAATGCCCACATAGCAATTAAAAGCCACTTCAACCCTGCCAAACAGCTATTTTCTGTGTGTATAGAGCTCTCTCCAGATGTGTACACACATGCAGCATTGCACAGAAGCAAGGATATGTGCACCTATCATGAAAGACCAAGGCAAAGGGGCTGTAACAACTGGCTTCAAGATTTGAGAAACTCTATTTGTCCACAGACAGCATAGCAATGTTGGCATGGGTTGGGGAGTGAGTGTGGGCTGAGGCAAAGAGAAAAGTGGCTTAACTTCTTTTAAAAAATTAGGAAAAGGGTGTAGTGCATGACTCAATAATTTTTACAAATCATGAAAGTCTGATTGACTTATAACGAACATGAAACCAACAAGTGATAACTATTACTTAATGGAACATCTTAAAAAGTTAACAACTGAAGGAAACGAACTCTTCAGAGTGGAATGAACTATAAAGACAACTGAATTGTTGGTTCTCCTGTGGGGACATGACCAAAGCCACTGGACAGACATCTATTTCTCCCTATTACCTATTCTTCCCCTAGATTGGTATAATAAAGGGCATGGAGGGAAATTAACCCCTTCCAAAATTGGGCCAAGGAAAGCAGAGGTACGGGTTTTCAACTAGATCATTCAAAGAGTTTATAATTCAGCATCGTACACAAAGTTATTGATCGGAATTTTGAGACCACTAACAACAACAAAAAAAGGAGAGAAAACAGAAACAAAACCCCAAAACAGGAATAAAGAAAACGGAATAAAGAAAACTATTCACTTAACCTATGGTAGTTGAATAGAAATGTTTTCTATTCACAACGTAAAATCAGAAACAGTGCTCTACAATTTTAGTAATTTCTACCCTAATCCAAATTTAGACACAAATTATGATACTATCCAAAATTAGTCTAAATTAATATGGTAATGAAAGTTCTTAAAGTGTTCACTCACCACAACTCCAGATTCATTTAAAAACTTAACTATTTCTTGTTTTAACTGACAATAAATTTTTTTTTATTGCAAATTGTTTTGTGACTATAACTCAGCCATTTATGTGTGGAATACACATGCGTAGGGGAAGACTATGTAACTCACTTGTTACTCACACATACTTGTTTATAAATACATATATACACACACACACACATATACATATCAACACCAACTTTTTTTCAAAATTCAAGTCAACAATTTAGTAAGAGAGATGCTGTAAAAACATATCATTTTTAGATGCCACACAGTCATGTGAACCATTAATTTTATCATACAGCCAAAAGACATAGCCATCTTGAATTCTACCTGGATTGAAGTAGGTCAGAGTTACCAATGCAAGGTTGAAATTGACAAGTTTATACACAAAAGTGGTCCTTCATCAACTCTGAGAATATTAACAGCTGTGATATAAAAACCCAGTCTGGAAAACTGGCAATCATTATCTTTTCTGTTAAACCTGTACTCTCAATCAACTGAAATACATTTTCCATATCTGAGAACATAATACCTTCTCTGATGAGGATTTTGGAACACAAGTAAAACCACTTTTCCTTCCCTTCAACATTTACTTATCTCCTGAAAAACAGTTTTCAATATATTTACATGTTCCACTATTTAGAGCAGATCAGATCCATTCATGAATTAAAAAAAAAAAATGACTTTCCTATGTCATGCTTGTCATTAAAAGATGAAGACAAAATAAACTAGGTAGATAGGTTAAGAACATAAGTACACTCACAGAGAATAAAAATGACTAAGGTTCAAATGTATTTTGAACCTTGTTTATCAAGACAGTAGATTTCTATAGATCCACATGTGTGGTGCATTGCATTTTCCAAACAAAATTTACTTTTAGGGTAATTGACTCATCTATCTTCTTTTTGAGGTGATGTAACCCTTCTGTCAGCTGCACAAAATACCCAGCAGGACTTTCTAAGCTATTATCACTTCCT